ATAACAGGGTTTCAGCAAGTGCATGAAGGTCTTAGCAAAATAGAAGATCTGATGAAAGTGACAAAAGAGGGGACATTAGATGTCAAACAAAACTTAAATGAAGCTGCACAAACTTTAGAACCGTCTTTATTGGGCATGACACCAGGTAACATAGATGGGATAGAGAGTTATCCAGTGACCTATGCAGCTTCCAAAATTAAAAAGCATTATGTTAAAAATCTTAAGAAAGAAACACTGAAACAAGAGAATCTTATTGTGAAAATATGGGAAGTGACAAAAATGGATATTCTGTCAGATGGGCTGAAAGACTGTTCAATTCAAAAGGAAACTGAACGATGGGATGTATTGTATAAATGGCTGCAGTTACCAGATAGTGTTGGAGTAACATAGAATTAAACTAAAATTTAATGATAAGATGAAAGCAAGAGGGTAATCACCTGTGAAAAAGCAAAAAGTTGATCTCTTATTGTAATATGAATTGATTGGTTGATGGTATACTCTGTGTTCTCCTATCCCCCTAACCCTTTTTTCTTTCTTCCTTCTTCCCTTTCCCCCACTACTTTTTGTATTCCCTACCCTGTCCTTAAATAAATTCTTAAATAAAAAAGGAAGAGGAGTGACTGCCCCTTCTTTTTCCTCTGGTGGCACATGCTGCTGAATATTTGCCTCTTCTTTCCTTTTCTGGCATCCAGGGGAATGCATTGGGGTGGCTACACATGCTTTGGTTGTAGGGACCACCACAAGACACTTTGCTTCCTACCACAGATGGGATAGATTGGGCTACACGGTTGCATGTCTTTAGCTCCTCACTTTCAAGGAGGATCAGCAGAGGGCAAGGCAATTGGTAGAGTCGCAGTCTCTAAATTTGACATGTTCTCGAGTTTTGTTTTGTTTTTGTTCCAGATGCCAAAATTACTAGTTAGAACTCTGCTGAAGGCTATAGTTCTTCACAGTCCCTGCGATTTGTACACAGGTTTTGCATCTGAGCAGAATTCCACATGGAACCTTCTAGAGCTGAAGAGCCTTAAGAGAAAAATTCCCCTCCCTGACCCTAGCACAGAAGCTCCAATTGTTACTAACAGTTCCCTCTTTTGGCCACTGCTCAGGCAGTACAGCACTCCCAAGATTTATTCTATAGTAGTGCCACGCTTGACGACAATGCATTCCAGCAAAATCGCTGTTAAGCGAAATCGTTGTCAAGCGAAAAAAATCCCCATTGAAATGCATTGAAAACCGGTTCCAATGGGGGAAATACCTCATCATCCAGCGAAGATTGCCCATAGAGAACCGCCGATCAGTTGTTAAAAATCGCTGTAATGCGAAGCTTCCGTCCGGAAAGCAGCCATTTTGAGAAGGGAAGGAAACCATTTTGTGGAACCGGAAAGCAGCCATTTTGAGATGGGAGGGAAGCCATCTTGCAGAAGGAAGCCATTTTGCGATGCCGAAAAGCAGCCATTTTGAGAAGGAAGCCATTTTGCAGAGCTGGAAAAAAACAGGCTCCAAATCAACGTAAAGTGGATTTCCTCCATTGGAACCATCGTTTTGCAATCGCAATAGCGATTGCAAAAATGTCATCGTCAAGCGATTTCGACGTCATGCGGGTAAGCGTCTAGCGGGGCACCACTGTATTTTCTAGGAAATTCTTTTTTTGTAAGCTGTTTCCTCTTTCTGATTTTCTCTCTCCTGGGGAGTCAGTCACCCCAAGAAGCACATCCTCCAGTCCCTCAGTATGCTTGTTGAGTTTCAGGGGTGTAGGTTTTACAGGCTGAAGCTTATGAGAGACACACAGAAACTTCCTTTTGTTGTTTTATTATTATGGATGCAGGAGGAAGCAAAGAAGGTTTATTTGTTTAATGGAAGCACATCTGGATATTTCTCTTTCATGCCCATAGTTCATAGTAAATTATTTTAAAAGTAAAGCAAAAAACTGAGAAGACATTTCCAAAATGAGATTGAC